ATCTATTTCCTTCTGTGAGGAGGCCCTGGGTGACACAGTTAAATGTTTGACTTGTAGCCTAAAAGTCGGTGGTTCAAACCCACCCAGAGACACCTGGAAAAGTCTGATGATTTACTTCCTACAGATGGCAGTCTTGAACACTCTGTGGAGTATGTCTACTCTGCACGCGCGCGCACACACACACACACACACACACACACACGATGGCAACTCACAGCAACAATTCCCCTTTGCTTGGGAACGAGGCACACGTTTGTCTTATTTCTGAATGTTCCTGTGACTAGTGTCACTCTTGCCGACTTCCAGCCTGTGTCCCCTTTCTAACGGCATCCTCGCTCCCCTTGTAGTGATTTCCAACCCCATGAACTTTTAGATCCTCATTTAGGGGCTTTGCTAGCCATCTGTGGGGAGGAGGAACATCAGGATTTAGGGAGGACTGCACAGTTACTGTGGAGTCCTGGTGGTACTGTGGGTATAGGCATTAGGCTGCTAATTGCAAGGTTAGCAGTTTGAACCCACCAGTCTCTCTCAGATGAGGCTGTCTGCTCCCATAAAAATTGAGTTTTGGAACCCCTAGTGAGTCGGTCTGTTCCACCCAATAGGGTGGGTCCCTTACAGTTGAAATTGACTAGATGGCAGTTTGAGTTTGAAGTTAGACCCAGGCCTGAAACATCTGCATTCTCCCCACCCACACACCCCTCTTTGTGACCTGAAGGAATCAAGTGTGCTAGCTGTGAACTCTTGGTTGGGCAAATTATTTCTCTAGAGTGTTGTGAGCTTCCAGCCACACACAGTGCAGCACTTTTATACGATGTTCTTAGTAAATCTTTTCTCTCATTTCTCTCTAAACACAAGCTTCTCTTTTCCCCACCCACAAGCTGGCAGGGTAAGACATCGTGGCGGCGGCTAGCAATGGGCTCTTGAACAGAGGAGAAAGTGGGCTTTTCACTTAAAACACCATTTGCAAAGGGGCAAACTATTCAGCGCCCCAACTCAGAGTTTGGGGTAGGGGAGCGGTCCTCTCCTGTAACCTACGGGAAGGGTCCCAGGGGAGGGCAGAGGGCACGGAGCTACTCGCACGTGGGCAAGGAACTGCTGTGTCACATCACCCGGCTTAGGGGCCAAGATCAGGGTGCGGTGCTGGGGGTGGGTTGCATCTCTGTAAATCTCAGGGGCCCAAGCCCTAGGAGGCGGAGGAGGTGAAAGTCCACACCTGACATTTTCAGGTGTATGAGAGGGGGTGTCCAATGGCACCGTCACTCATGCATGCTTCTCTAAAGCGATACGTTCCACCTCCACCCGCCGACCCCTTCCTGCAGCGCCCAATCCCACTTTCGCTCGCGCTCGGGGAGCCTCCGGGGCAGCCGAGAGGCGTGGCCCATCGGCGACCCGCCCCTTTGATGTACGCCGGCGCCGCTGTGATTGGACAGTCGCTTGTGACGTACGGGGACTGCGGTGGGCCCGGGTGCCGCAGCAGCCGCAGCGCCGGCCGCTGCTCGGGCTCCGGCTCCCGGGCATTTAAAGGGGACGCTGCGGCCGCCGGGGGGATGGGGGCAGGCGGAGGGGACGGCCCAGGCGTACATCGTCCACGGCCCCTCAGAATCGGAGGGACTCGTGAGCCGGAGCCCCGAAACCCGGGGGTGGATAAGACACCGCGTCCCCTTCAATTCCCGTAAGCACCCCTTGCTCCATCCTGCTCCCAAAAACCTCAGCTAATCCCCCCTACCCCGCCCAGTTACGCTTCAAACTCAGTCGGGACAGACCGCTGCGGTCGCCGCTCCCCACGTTGAATCCTGGGCTCTGGGAGGTAGGGGGAGGGCCGGGGTCCCAGGTACGGTGGGGGCTGTGTAGAGTTTAAGGGCGCGCCTTAACGCGAGTGTCAGTGGGGGAGCCCCTGGAATAGACTCTACGCTGGGAACCTGGGGTCCGGGTAGCTGTCCGTCCCCAACTCGGGCAAAACGAAATCTTGTTCCTGACTCTAAGGTGTTACCCCCTTGCGCCCTGCCACCCACGAACCCCGTCCTCTCCCGGAGTTGCGCACCCCCTTCCCCTGCATTGGAGCGAGGCACCCGCCAGCTGGGGCTGGGCCACAGTGCCTGCTTTCCAGCGCCTCTAAAAATAACTTTCCCCCCACCCCAGCTGCCACCTCCCTGTCTTTGCCCATCGAGCCTCCCTGCCACCCCCCCCCCTCAGTTTGTCCCGCCCAGGCTGGGCGAGCCCTGAGGTCACTCTTCGTCCCAGCCTCCTCCTTGGCCCCAGGGCTCCAGATCCTCCTCACCTGCTAGTCAGCTCAACCCAAAACAAACAAACAAACAAACAAACAAACAAAAAACACCCAAAAGCTCTTGAGAGCAATGGGAGCCAGCTCTAACTGCAATTTACCAAGAGCCATCTGAAAGTCCTGGGTTCTAATCCTGATTCCTATGCTATGTGACCCCAGTTGTAAACTTGACCTTTCTGGGCATCTGTTGCTGAAGCATCTTAAGCAAGAAAGAGACCCTGGTGAAGCTGTGGGCACTGTCTGAGGGAAGGCAGGAATTCCAGTTTAGCAGTTGAGTCTGATTTCTAGTGGTTGACAGTAGAAGAGATTTGGTCTTGGGCAGAGAATTTGTAATGTAGTATTCCTGGGATACTTTCCCCTCTTCCCCATCCTGTATATTTCCTGGGGAAAAGGGTCCACCTACCAAATACAAAGGAGCTCTGGTATCATAGTGGTTATAGATCAGGCTGTGAACCACAAGGTCAGCAGTTCGAAACTACCAGCTGTTCCGCGGGGGAACGATGAGGCTTTCTGCTCCCGTAAAGATTTACAGCCTCGGAAACGCTGTACAGGGTCGCTGAGTCAGAACCGACTTCAAGGCACATAACAACAAGAACAACCAAATACAAAGGGGGATTTCAAACTTGTTAAATGCCATCCAATAGGGTTTGCAAGGAGCCGCTGGTGGATTTGAACGGCTGATCTTGCGATTCAAACTAACCTTGCCATCCCGTGCAGGGCTCCTCAAAAGGAGATTTCAAATTTAAGGCCTAGCCAAAAAAGGGCCTGCTTCCCTCCCCCACCCCCAGGACCTCCTCCAACCCCGTTTCCACAGATTTAACCTAAGAACATTCGTAATAAAAGGCAGAAGGAAGCAGGGAGGAATTTGTGATTGGGTATAAAACCTGGGAGGCGGGGTCGGTTTTTGGATGGGATTAAAATAAGACTCTCTTCCACCTCCCAGAAACACTTCTCTCCTCTCCTTGCTCTAGTCTGCAGTTGACGCTCAGCTGCTCAGCTCCTGCTCCTTTTTCTCTGGGGGACTTACTAGTGACTACAAGAGGATTTGATCACTTGGAATAAAGCTGCTAGAGGTAAGTAACCTATTGGAACTTTCAGGGGAACCAGATTCCTACTGGGGAGTGAGAGGGCACTCTTGAGTTCCTCTGACTGCTGGAAGCTGGGTATCACAGCAAGGCCTGCTGAGTGGCAGGGGGAAGAAACCCCCGATGCCTGGCTTTCTGCTTTGGAAACAAAAAGAAACAAGGAGAAAGTAACAAGACCCTCTTTTATAGCTGAAACCTTGGCCTCTGGGTAGTCGACTGCTAGTGACCACTTTGTGTGGTTTTTGTATCTGCTTTTTCTGCTCTTCATTTCACATGCCTGATGTTTGTCTATGTTTGCTTTTACAACGGGAGTGGCATCCCCGACCTTTCACCTCTGACTAGGCTGGCATATCAGACAGGATTTTGGAAGGCTGGGACGCCCTCCAGATAGGGCCTGGGGGCAATCCTTTCACTCCCTCCAACACAAGCCATTCTTTATCCCCCATGCCTCTCTCTGTCTACTGCCCCATTCCGCTTAGGCCTCTATTCCCAGTTCCTAGATCAAAAATTCTTCAGGGAAAGATTGAGCCCTACATTTTGTCCTTACCTGAAAAGGTTTTAATGCATGTGTGGTCAGGGAGTTGATAGGGGTGGGGAACCCCAAGATGCAGAGTGATAAAGCCCCTCCCCTATCCTGTGCATTGCACCTTGTATGTTCCAGTCTCTGTCCTGCTGCTCTGGCCACGGGTGGTCTGGGAATAGTGTCACCTTGACAAAAATCAGAAGTTTGCTGTGATATCCATTGTTACCACTAGGGGGCAGCAGCCTGCCAGACTTTTGCTCAGTGTCTGTCCCTACTGCCTCCTCTTCTCTCATTCACTCTGGGAGTAGAAGGACATGGGAGCAGGGAAACCTCCGGGAGCTGTAGGTGATGCCCTTTGTAGCATTGGTGAAGAACCCAAGAAGGCAAACCCATCCCCAAAGTCCGTCAGAGATTTAAAATCGATTCTCCTTACTGGAGTCCTGAAAGCATTTGGGATGCCGGACGATGCTGGACCCAGATCACCTGTGGTCCCCAGCAGTGGTTCAGTAAGCCCTGGCCATCTACCCACTTCCCTTTTAAGGGCAGAGGGAAAGTAAAAGCTTGTGACCAGGTATTTACATGCCAGCCTCTCCCCTTATAAACAACAGGGCCTCAGGCAAGTTACTTAACTCCTGTGAGCTTTCCTCATCTGCTGAATTCCTGGGGCCCTGATAAGCAGTGAAGATGCTCTGTAAACTGGAATTTACAACACACATGTAAAGGATGGTGAGCATACTAGAGGCACTGGTCTTAGACTCTGGTTTTGAGCTCTGTCTCGGGCACTTAGACTGGGAGATCTTTGGGCAAGTCAGTTTAACCTCTCTGGTTTCCAATAATTTATATAATCCATAACATCTCCAGCTGTGTAGGGAATTGCTAAGAGGATGCTTTGCGGTCTGTAAGTGCTGTGCTTTTTGGAAGGGTTCTTTTATTGAGACCCTGGGAGTAGTTCCTGGGGTTCAGTAGAGGGGAGAGGATAGGTCCCGGTGGTGGATGCAAAACCATCTGACTGTTCATTTCAAATGGACCTTGTGTGTTTGTCAGGAGCTCTGGGTGACAGCTGGAGGCCAACAGGATCCCTACAGGTGGCGCCCAGGGTGATACACTGATAATGAGCGGGTGTTTTCCAGTTGCTGGCCTCCGATGCTTGTCTAGGGTAAGTAGGTTCCTCTCCAGAGGTCTTTTAGGGTGAGGCCTCAGCTTCCACTTTCTCCAAATGTGGTTGGGGGAGCCCTAGCTGGCACCTTTGAGCCCTCACCTCCACTGGGGTTCCACTAATCCCCCAAAGCTTCTGCTTCAAGCTCCAGGAATCTGGGACCACTGTGGCTCCCAGCGGGATGATGGTGAGACCAGGGGGTGTGACTTAGAGTTGAGGTCAAACGGACTTGGTGGTGGTGGTGGTAAGTGCCACTGAGTTGATTCCAACTCATAACATCCCTGTCTAGGGTTTCTGAGGCTGTAAATCTCTGGGAGCAGACAGCCTCATCTTTCTCCCACAGAATGGCTGCTGGGCTCTAACCACCAATCTTGTGGTTTGCAGTCCAGTGTTTCACCCTCTAGACCCACCATGCTCCCAAAGGGACTTTAGGGAAACAGAGAACCTGTTACCATGGAGCTGACTCTGCCTCAGTGACCCTATGGGACAGTAAAACTACCCCAGAGAGTTTCCATGGTTGGAAGCTTTATAGAAGCAGAAGGTGGGTTTAAACAGCCAGGCCTTCCGTTAATAGCTGGGCATTTAACCACTGTGCCACCAAGGCTCCTGGGAGGCAGAGAGCCAGGTTCAAATCCCAGCTCTGGAGTTAAGGCCTTAGATTTGTATTTCACAATGTGTCCTAGGCCATACTCACCCCAGGAGTACTGGAGAGGTTAGGAAGAAAGAGCAGGAGGAGGAATGGTTAACTGGGGTGGGGAACCCTGAAGGAGAAAGGCAGTGTGATGAGTAGTCTGAAGCTGCACTCTGCCTCTGACTAGCACAGCTGCTCCATGCAAAGGTGACAAGGACAGGCTGCTGAGGGCTCCTATTGTCTCCATATGCTTATTTTGTTCTCAGCCCCCTGCCCCCTACCACCAACATGCTAGCCAAGGTCTCTACTTCTTGGGCGTTTTCTCCCCAATTCCCATCCATGTCTGTACCCATGCTCCTCTGGCATGACCTCCTCCTGCCCCCCATCCTCACCGCTCCCTCCCCCCACCTCACTTTCTGCTCCTGCCTTTTTAGCCACTGCTGCGCTCTCTCCTCCCTTCCATCTCCCAGGTATGCCGTGGCCTGGCGTGGGAGGTTCCCACCTCCCCAAGCCCCACTGCTTCTGCTGCCCGCTTGCTTCGGACCCTGGCAGAAACCCAACCTGCTGACAAGTCCTTTCCAGGGAATTGGCAAGTGATTAGTGATGAGCTGTCAGCGCAGGGCCCTGAGTATCCCTAGGGAAGTTAGGTCCTTTCCCTGGACCCCAGCCCAGTGCCATTTGCCTAGAAGCAGCTCTTGGAGAGCCTTCCTGGGTCTTGTGTGGCCATTCCACTTCTCTGGTCATGCCAAGGGCTCGAGTCTCATTCTCTGGCCATTAGGGAGGCCCAGACACCTAACCTCCCAGGCCTGGACCTTAGCACCCCTCACCTGCCTGTGGACCCGGCTGTCGTTTATGCGCAGTGCCTTGGTTGATTCTAAGAAACTCTTCCCTGGCTCTTCGTTGTCCACAAGCCCATAAGCCATCCATTCCTCATGGCCCAAAAAGGGATTAAGGGGCTGCTCCAGCTGGACAAATGAGTGGTTTTCTTTGGCTGTGTTTGTGTTAGGGGGGAAGGAGTGGAGAGCTTTCTGCATCCTCCTTTATCCACACCAGTAACAGGGGGCCACTGGGAACTCTCCAAAGGGCTGGAGCAGAATCCTCTCCAAAGGGGTGAATGAAAACTTCCCTTCTTATAAGCTCTTTCCTTGCTAGGACCACATGAAAGCAACAAAAGCAAGGCAGCCATCCTGGCTTGAGGTGTAGGATGCTCCACTGAGCAATACACCCCAGGGCACTTAACGAGGTGCCAGCGGGGTGGGTAAGGAAGCATAGTGAGAGGGGGAGGGGCATGTGGGGTACTCAGCTCAGCTTAACCGGTCTTGGGTCCTCCTCAGGTCTTGGATATGCCAATGCCTCTGGTCGTGGCCTGCTAACCAGCCTCTTCCCGGCCGGCCTCCGCCGCGCCCACTCTCGCTTGCCCCTTCCTCCTGCTCCTCCCTCCCCTGCTCCCAGGACGGCGGGATGGCTGCGCAGGGCGCGCCTCGCTTCCTTCTGACCTTTGACTTCGATGAGACCATTGTGGATGAAAACAGCGACGACTCGATTGTTCGCGCAGCGCCGGGCCAGCGACTGCCAGAGAGCCTGCGTGCCACCTACCGTGAGGGCTTCTACAACGAGTACATGCAGCGCGTCTTCAAGTACCTGGGCGAGCAGGGTGTGCGGCCGCGGGACCTGTGTGCCATCTACGAGGCCATCCCCCTGTCGCCCGGCATGAGCGACCTGCTCCAGTTTGTGGCTAAACAGGGCAACTGCTTCGAGGTTATTCTCATCTCGGATGCCAACACCTTCGGCATAGAGAGCGCACTGCGTGCTGTCGGCCACCTAAGCCTGTTCCGGAGCATCCTCAGCAATCCCTCGGGGCCGGATGCTCGGGGGCTGCTGGCGCTGCGACCCTTCCACACGCACAGCTGCGCGCGCTGCCCCGCCAACATGTGCAAGCACAAGGTGCTCAGCGACTACCTACGCGAGAGGGCCCAAGACGGCGTGCACTTCGAACGCCTCTTCTACGTGGGCGACGGCGCCAATGACTTCTGCCCCATGGGGCTGCTGGCGGGCGGCGACGTGGCCTTCCCGCGCCGCGGCTACCCCATGCACCGCCTAATCCAGGAAGCTCAGAAGGGCGAGCCCAGCTCCTTCCGCGCCAGCGTGGTGCCCTGGGAGACGGCCATCGACGTGCGCCTCCATCTCCAACAGGTGCTGAAGACATGCTGAGGATAGCCGCCTGCAGGGGGCGCCCGGACGGACTGGCGGCGGAGGGTTCCGGGGTGGGGGGACGGGAATCGGGAAAGAGAAACCTAAATTTATGATGCCCCTTTTGCTTTAGTATGTCTCTCAGGACCGCTTCGGGAGTTACGGGCTCTCCCATTTGCGGGGTGGAGAAGGGGGTTCGGTGAGGTCTCTATGCAGTTAGGCAGCTAGGCTGCCTCCCCGAGTTCCGTCAGCTCAACAGAGGTGGTGCGCACAGCTTGGAAGCCAGCAGCGTTTCCAAAAACCTTGCCTTCAGAGTTGGGAGGAAGGGGTTCCCTGGAAGATGAGAGAAGGAACATCTCCTACTGCTTTATCTGCTGCCACTAAGCCACTAACTGATCCCTTCCACGGTCTTCCGTCAAGGAGACCTACTACTAGGCTCCCGAAGTCTTCACGATGCCCAGCCATCCAAGGCACCACCAAACTCTCCACGGAGAGAGAACTGCTAGTTCTGACGACGACTCCAAGTCCCTTCGATCTTGCTTCACCCACCGCAATCCACACGATTTCTGTACGGGCTACACTCTTTTGTTGCCTCGGGTCGTCCGCCCCCCCCCCCCACCCCACCCCACCCCCAGTACCCGCAAAAGGAAAAAAAGCCAGAGGAAGCAGTCGCCTTCTAGTGGTGAAACGAGGTAGCGCACTGTTTGGCTCCTGTCTGGCCAGCTAGGGACTTCGCAGCATGCGATGGTGTCTCCTCGCACCCCAGCCTCGTCTATGCAGCAAGAGACCAGGGATTTTACCAAAGTTGCCCCCGTGGACTAGACCTTCTGCAATCCCTCTCCCCGTATGGAACAGAAAGCCATGATGTTTTTAAGCAGAGCCAGTGAAACGCAAGCTCCTCTTTTCTCTTTGGAGTTCACAGTTATAAAGAAGGTGAAGGGGAAAGAGGTGACTGAGATGTCTTGCGCCGCAGACTGGGGGATGAGGGTGACGGTGGTCTCTATTCGCCCAGGGCCTCGCTTATGTGAGGAATGTAATTCCCATTCTTAGAGGAGTGCCCAGCTGAAGGAACCAAGACAACACGTAACCCCACAACTAACCATAAAACAAAAGAACAAGGTTAGGTTAAATGGTTATTAAGTGCTGGGGCGTCGTTCAGACTCATAGTGACCCTGTATAGGGTTTCCAAGGTGGAAACTCACCTTGTGGTCCAGTGCTTTATTCCACAGTGCCACACCAGGTTTCCAGATTAAGTGGAGAAGGGGACTTAGGGCTGAGGAGGGTGAAGTGGGTGAGCTATTGCTGCTAGGGAGGCCTAGAGAATCGGTCCCCTAGCCTTGCAGGCAACCATCAGAAGGGAGATCAAGGCTTAATCCAAAGTTGGCACTTGCAGCTAGAAGCCCTGCCTGCATTGGCATCTGCAGATAAGATCACCCAAACTTCTTGGCTTCCAGTTCTTATTGGCAGTTGCTCGCTGGGTATCTTCTTTCTACCCTTAAGGCACTTTCCCACTATCATGGGCACAGAACACAACACACAGCCCAAGAAATGGGCAGGTCTAGTCCAGTAGAGATGATGGAGCTGGTTTTGGCCTGGAAAGACCCTCACTCAAATGAGCAGCTGGGCTTCACGTAGTTCCCAGGGAAGAATCCAGCACCCTCTGAACTGACGCCCTCACACCAGCCATCCGAGTAGCGACGGGTGACGCAGATGACTGTACCCTCAGAAAAGGAGAGTTCGTTGTCCTTCTGGCGAGTATATGGGTACAGCGTCACCACTGCAAGGCAGGAGGAGAGGGTGCTGTGAGCTGTCCCCCCCTCTACAAACTCGGCTAGCAGAAGGAAGCTGCAGGGAATGGGGCAGGAGGTCTAATCCCTCAGGTCCCCTCCCCAGCTGGGTTCATGTGTACCATCAGGTTCTCCCGCCCAGATAGCTTGTAGGTGAACATTTGTTCTGCTCATCAGAAAATGTATGTAGGGGGAAGGGAGAAGCCCCCTAGGAATGAAGAATGGTGCTCAGCTACAGAGGCCCAAGCGGAGGGATCTGGCATCTGGTGCACTTCAGTTTCTGGTCACAAGTACCTTTCTCCAAGTATGCAGTAGGGACCCAGCTGGGGTCATCAGGGCCAAAACCTGGGGGTGGCGGAGGTGGTAGCTCCAGTTCATCTACATCCAGGATTGGCGGTGGGGGCAGGTCCATGGGCAGGGGCAACTCCTGGACTAGAAGGGAAAGCAGAAAGGTTACACTCATCCCAGAAACGTCTTTGCTCAAGTGTAGCATCCAAGGATCCAGCCACTTAGATACGTTCTCCAGTCCTGTTCACCTTGTTCCTTCCACGGTGTCTACACAGCGACTCTCAGTAAACACTGAAAGATCGAATCAATAGTGTAGGGTAGAGACTGCCACTTATTAACTGAGTGGTCCTTGGGCAAGTAACTTCACGGCAACCTCAGCCTCAGCTTTTGCATCTGCTCAATGGGAGGGTCAAGATCCTCTCAGGATATTAAGTTTAAATGAGCAGACGGATGAGGGCCTGGTATAAGCTTCACTTCTTCCGTATCCTTCCCTGATAACCATCTGGGAAAGTCTTCGTTGAGGCCGGCAGGGTTTCATCCTAGAAGGCTAGGGTGGGCAGGGTATCCCGTGAGAAGGTGATTCTGGAGTTGAGGGAGAGCGTGGGGCTCTTTACCAGGCGGGGGTGGGATCAGCTCCAGCGGAGTGGGCAGCAGGAAGAGGTCAGCTGCTGGTGGAGGTGGGACCATGGAGCTGGGAAGAGGTGGGGGTGGGGGGACCGCCTGCCCCTTGGTCGTGGAGACCCCAGTGACGCCTTCGGCGCTGCTGAAGACCAGAGAAAGAGGGGTTCTGCTCAGTTGGGGGCGCCTTCTCGAACTCGGCACCCCCCAGCTGACCCCGCCTTGAGTGCTCGCAACCCTGTGTTCACTATGACAACGAGCAGGCAGCTTCTAGAACACCCCACCCACCCAGCCAGCAGGTAGGGCTCACCCGGCCGAGGCCAGGGACGAGACTGACGAGGCGGCGGAGAGGTGGCCGTCGGGCACCACTGGGAGCTGCACGGGCTCGGGGATCCGGGGCGGCCTCCTGGGGAAGGAGGAAGGGGGTCAGGGCCCGAGAGGCGTCCGCCAGCAGGGGGAGGGGTGGCAGGCGGAGAGGAAGTTTGGCGCCGAGCGTTGGGGCGTGGGGACTGGACCTCCTTGGTTCGAGTGCGGGCGGAGTCTCACCCTAGGGTGGTGGAGGCGGGTGTGGCAGGAGCCTTGATGCTTTTTCGAGACAGAGTGCCAGTCCGCGACAGCTGCGTGCTCATGTCCTGCAAAGGTGGGCAAGACTGACAGTTGTTCCGAACCCCTCAATCCCCACCCTGGTCCCGGAGAGGAAACTGGGAAGCGGCTGACGAGAACTTAGAGGGCAAACCCTGGCATCAGTTCCCATTTGCACTTCCCAGCCGGCTACCTCCGGTCTTACTGGTGGTAGCCGCAGCCCTCGACAAAAGGAGGCTCAGGGCGCAGACATGGTCTGGTGGCCACTTCCTCTACAGAACCACAGCGAGGGGCCTACCCCTTACCCGTCCCCAGACCATCTCAGAACCCAGTTAGTTGTAGTCCTGGCCAGGTGGCCTCTGACTGTGATTAGACCCCCAACCCCAGGGTTCTGAGGAGAGGAAACATCAGACTTAGAACATTAGTCTCAGTCAGACCTGTGACTTTAGAGCACTCAGGGGAGAGAAGCAGATACGAGGATACTTGCAGTGTACAAATGACACGTGTCTGGTGGGGTTCCCTTTCTTTGAGGGTATGTGTGTGGAGAATGATGTTTGTCCATTTGCTATACTTCACCAGGAACACAATCAAAAGAAGCTTGAAGCGTTTAACCATGAATAGAAGGAACTTACTAGTTGGGGAGATGAGTGAGTTCTAATCTAACCTAGACCTGCAGCTGGAGACAGAAACTGACAAAATGGGATGGGGTGTGTGCCCCCTTCCAACTCAGAAGGAGAGGGATTGGAGGGGGGGAAAAGTCAGCGGTGTTACCATCTCCCCCCCACCCACTCCATCCCCTCAGCGAGGCTGAGCGATTGTTCACTGTGGTGACCTCAAACCCCCAGACAGAGGAAGTTGCCCTTCTCATGTGGCTGGGGAACCGTTTTCATGTACACCCTGACAGCCTCCCTGCCCCCCTCTTCCCCTTCACACCCGGCACCCACAGTATGAGGGGGCAGGGAGAATCTCAGGGTGTCACACTCAGCAGAAGCCTCTGAGGACAGGGTAAAGATAAGTCATGGAGGGGATCATGGGAGGATAACCAGATTTGGGGGCAGGAAGGTGGCTTGCAGTAATGGCTACAGGGAGTGAGGAATGAAAGGAGACAGGATGGGACAACAACACAGATGTGGAAAGAGAGCACGAGGGGGTGAGGAAAGAGGAGGAGCCCCTCTCTCTACCTTGATCCCATGTCCAATTTCATCCAGGCAGCCAAAGTTGAGGGGTTTTCTGTAGTAAGGTGTGAGGGTGGGTAGGCTCTCAGGAGGGATGACCTTCTGGCTGGGGGGCAGCCGCTGGACAGCAGCCAAGGTGCCGATCTCCCTTCGGGCCACCTTCTCCATGTGCATGTTCACCATCTGCATGATAGGGTGGCAATGGGTGCATCTGTCCCATAGAGACCTTGGGATGGGGAGGGACCATGGGACGCAGTGAGGTTCAGAGAGTGAGCTTCCTCCCCACCCCCAAGGCTACAGAGTAATTGGGAAGAGTAGCAGGGGAAGGACGGAGCCACTTTAGAACAACTTCCTGGTGGAAACAAATGAAGGTTATTATTAGCTGAGCAGGAACAGGAGGAAAAGAGAAAACATAAAATCCCTAGAGAAGCTGGGAAGAGACTGGAGGACTGGGCTGGCTAGGGAGCAGTGGCGGGGAGGGGGGTGGTGGTGAAGTGGAGGTGGCTTCATCAGCTTTCTTCTTTGCTTGGGCAAATCAATGCATAAACTTCCTTTGGAATGGTTTATGGAGAAACCTACAACGTCAAGAGGGCGGGGACTCTGGTTTGCTGGGGTGAGAGGAAAAGGCACGCCCCACACACTGAACATGTGGCTGATGTACAGGCCAGAGCCAAATGTATAACTGATCAGTGTGTATATTCAATGGGGCAATTCCTCGGTCAAGGATCCAGGAAGGAAGGAGGAGGGTGTGTATGCTAGAAGGGTGGGGTCGCTAGATGGTGGTGGCAGTGCTTCCAGCGTTGAAGATACCCTTGCCAAAAGAGCATGATGGCTCTAGGACATTTTTGAAGTCATTGTCTTCAGATGGAAACAGGGTCCATTTACCTTTCCTGTACTCTGCAACCCTCAGGATTGGTAGAGCCAGCTTTTGAACTGCAGGGTAGAATTCAGAGAAGGAAAAAGCCCCGTCTTCAAGGAGTTCTTAGATAGACAGCAAGACCCATGATGGAGACAAAGCCACAGAGATAAGGAGGCTCCAAAAGCTTAGGAAAGGCCAACATTCTGTGGCATTTGGGCCCTTGGTCATGGAAAAAGGCAGGAAGAGAGACTCCTGCTGAGGAAAATTTCCTTTTCCGACCCCTCACCTGGCCCAGCGTGCTGACATGGGCTTCCACCTGCCGCAGAGAGGCCGCCTGCAAGTCCAACATGCGCATAGTGTGCCCCGCCAGGTTGCCCACCTGGTAGGCCACACTGGCCAGTGCCTGGATGGTGAAGGCCTTGGTCTCCTCCAGCGCCTTTCGCTTGTCTGTGGTCTGAAACACACAAACAGTCCTGTCGTGAGGCCAACACCTTCCTCTGGGCTCTTGGCAGGGTAGGATGGGGCAAAGGGAAGGTTGGGAATGAATTGGGAGGAAGATGCCTTTAGAGGTTCGAGGTAGTTTCCATAAAGATATTATAGCAAGAAGGATTTAAGTGATATTCAGAAAGCACATCTGCCTTTCTGGGGAATGGGTGCTATGGGGAGGGAGCTAGTCCCCCTCATTGGGAATGGATCTGATCCATTTTACAGATAAGAAAACTGAGGCCTAGAAAGAACTGGCTTCATTCATTCTCTCCAGTAATTTCCCATTGAGCTGTGAATAAAATCCAAACTTCTAACCATGGTCTTCCCTCAAGGCATGATTCCTGTCTTTCTCTACAGTTCCTCCTCTAACTTAGTCCCCTCCAAGCCCACTGGTCATTGTGGCTGAAACAAGCTAAAAAGGTTTCTGCCTCAGGGCCTTTGGATGTACTCTTTTTTGAATCCTCACTAGATGACAGCTCCTCAGAGACACCTTCCCTCACCACCTTACTTAAGATTTACCCCACCTGGGAAGAAATTAGTAAATTACAGGGTAACCTCAAAGAAAATTAATATACTTTCACATTAAGATAGAAAAAGAAAAAAAAAATCAGATTTAGTAAACATTGTGGCACAGCATTAGGGACTGCAAGGTCAGTTTGAGCCTCAAGGTCAGTAGTTTGAGCTTACCAGTCACTCCTCAGAAACCCTATACAGGGTCTCTATGAGTCGGAACGAACTTGACAGCACTTAACAACAACACAACAGAAATGAAGAAAACCCTCAAACAAAATGAACTTGGCACAGAAAATTATGTGACACAAAGAAACCAGCAACACCACACACACACACACACACAGAACAATGATGGCAATCAGTTCGTGCCTATCGATAATTACATTAGATGTCAATGGATTAAATGCTTTGATCAAGAGACACAGAGTAAGCAAATGATAAGAAAACAGGATCCTTCAGTATGTTTCTCTATAATAAGAGACACACCTTACAAACAAAGACAAAAATAAACTAAAACTCAAGAGCTGAAAAAGAATATATTATGCTAACAGCAATTAAAAAAAAAAAAAAACTAGCAGGAATGGCAATATAAATTTCTCATAAAATGAACTGTAAGGCAAAAACCAACATAAGAGACATTATGATTAAAGGGTCAATTGAACGAGAGGACATAACATTAACAAATATCCATGCTCCTGTGAAAGAGTCTCCAAATACATAAATCAAACTCTGATAGAACTGAAGAAAGAAATAGACAAGTTCATATTAGAAAGAGGGAAATTCTTCAACATAATTATGTATATGGAGTCCTGGTATGATGCCATACAATAAGCATTTGACCTTAAGGTAGCTTTGAACTGCAAGACTTGGCAGTTCAAACTCACCATGGCTCCTCAGAAACCCTATACAGGGTTGCTATGAGTCACAACCTACTGGAAGGCACTTAACAACAACAAAAACATACAAAACCAACAGCCAAGAGCCAACATCATTGTCAATGGAGAGAAACTGAAAACATGCCCTCTGCGAATAAGATCCAGACAAGGATGCCCTTTATCACCACTCTTATTCAATATTGTGCTGGAAGTCTTAGCCAGAGTTACAAGATTAGAAAAAAAAAAAGGAAATTAACAGCGAGCGAGATGAACTAGCAAAGTGGCAGCATCAATGGGCTCAAGTGTGGCAACAATTGTGAGGCTGGCCCAAGACCAGGCAGTGTTTCATTCTGTTGTGCATAGGGTCTTTGTGAGTCAGTACCGACTTGATAGCACCTAACAACAACAACAACAAAACACAAGCCATACTATTTTCAATAACTTTATGTGCATGTGAAAGTTGGATAGTGAATAAGGAAGACCGTAGAAGAATTGATGCTTTTGAGTTATGGTGTTGGAGGAGAATATTGAAAGTACCATGGACTGACAAAAGAACCAATAGATCTGTTTTGGAAGAAGTGCAGCCAGAGTGCTCGCTCCCTGGAGGCTAGGATGGCTAGACTTCATCTCTCATACTTCAGACATATTATTAGGAGGGATCAGTCCCTGGAGAAGGATATCATGTTTGGTAAAATGGAGGGTTGGAGAAAAAAAGGAAGACCCCAAAGAGATGGATTGGCACAGAGGCAGCAGTAATGGGCTCAGGCGTAGCAATGATTGTGAGGCTGGTGCAGGACTGGGCAGTGTTTTGTTCTGTTATGCATAGGGTCACTATGAGTCAGTTCTGACTCAATGGCATCTAACAACAACAACAAAATTGGTAAAGAAATAAAAATCTTATTTGCAGATAATCCTACACAGAAAATCCCAAAGACTCAGCAAGAAAATTATTGAAACCCACTGAAAGATTCAGCAAAGTGGCAGCGTACAAGATCAACATCCAAAAACCAGTTGGGTTCCTTTACATTAATAAAGACCTCTGAAAAGGGAATCAGGAAAACAATACCGTTTACAATAGCTACTCGAAAGATGAAAATACTTAGGCGTAAATCTAACCAGAGAAACAAAAGACATATGCACAAATAAAACTACCAAATATGACAACAAGAGACCTATAAAAATGAGATAATATTCCATGCTGTGGGTAGGAAGACTTAATATTGTGAAAAAGTCAACACCACCCAAAGCAATCTATAGATATAATGCAATCCCAATCCAGATGCCAACATCATTCTTTAAAGAGATGGAAAAACTAATCACAAACTTCATATGAAAAGGAAAGAGACCCCAGATAAGCAAAACATTACTAAAAAGGAAGAACAAAATAGGTGGACTCTGACTTCCCAGTTTCAAAGCCTACCACACAGCCACAGTAGTCAAAACAGCCTGGTGCTGGTATAAAGGAAGACACATAGATCAATGGAGTAGAATTGAGAACCCAAAAGTAAATCCACGTTCATATAGTCAGCTGATCTTTGACAAAGTGACAAAACACATTAAATGGGGAAAAGATAGTCTTTTCAACAAATGGTGCTGACAAAACTGGTGTATATCTCACACCATATACAAAACTGGAAATAAACAAGACCCTTATCTCACACCATATACAAAAACGAACTCACCATGGATTAAAGACCTAAATGTTAAACCTAGAACTATGAAGGTCATCGATGAAAAAATGAAAGCAAACATAGAGGCTCTGACACATGGCACAAAACATTATCAAAACTGACTGAAAACACACAAATAGAAAACAAAATAGATGATCAGGGCCTCCTAAAAATTAGACACTTGTGTGCATCAAGAGATTTCACCAAAAGAATATAAAGAGAACCCACAGACTGGACTGGAAAATTTTTTTGGCAATGATACATCTGACAAGGGACTACTCTTTAAAATGTATAGGGCACTTCAACACCTCAACAAGACTACTTTATCAAAGAAGACGTTCAGCCAGCCACCAAACAAATGAAGAAATGCTCAAGCTCATTAGCCATTGTTGTTATTGTTGCTAACTGCCATCAAGGCAGTTCCGACTCATAGCGACCTTGTATAGGATTTCCAAAGAGCAGCTGTTGGGTTTGAATCATCAACCTTGTGTTTAGAAGTTCAGTGACTATCCAACAGCACCATACCAAGACTCCCATTAGCCATTGGTGGTGGTGGTCGTTGATTCCAACTCGCAGCAACCCTGCATAGGGCTTCTGAGGCTGTAAATCTTTATGGGAGCAGAAAGCCTCATCTTTCTTCTATGGAATGGCTGGTATTTTCAAACTGCTGACCTTGAGGTTACTAGTCTGCCTTGTAACCACTTCGCTATCAGAGTTCCTTCCTATTAGCCATTAAGAGACGCAAATCAAAACAACAATGAGATATCATCTTACCCTAGCTTTAATAACCATGTTAAAAAAACACAACAACAAATGCTGGCAAGGATATGCAGATACTGGGACCCTTCTTCACTGTTGGTGGGAATGTAAAAGGTGCAGTCATCATGGAAAAAGATTTGGTGCTTTCTCAGAAAGTTGGAAATAGAAATACTGTATGATCCAGCAATCCCTTTACCTGAAGGGCATCACTAAAACAAAAACTTATAGACGAGTGCCTCTAAGTAAGAACTAAGAGCTATGACACAAATATGCACACCGATGTTAACTGTACAGGGTCGCTATGAGTCGGAACCAACTCCACAGCACATAACCACCACCATGTTAATTGCAATACTATTCACAAAAGCAAAAAGATAGTTGTTGTTAAGTGCCATTGAGTTAGTTTGGGCCTGTAGCAACCCTATATAAGGTTTCCAAGGAGTGACTGGTGAGCTTGGACCACTGACCTTGTGGTTCAAACAAACTTTGCAGTCTAGCGCATTAACCCACAGCACTACACCAAGACCATCAGTAGAAGAAGGGATAAACAAACTTTGGTACATACACACAATGGAATACTATGCAACACTGAAGAATAAAAGTGAATCTGCAGAACACCTGTAACATGGATAAACCTGGAGGACATTATTCTGAGTGAACTTAGTCAATCACAAAAGGACAACTGTTGTATGAGACAAAGTCAAGAAAAGGTTGTTTTGTTTTGTTTTGTTTTTAATAAAAGAAATACTCTATGATGGTTACCAGGAGCGGGAGGGAAGGGAAATTTTTTCACTGGCTACAGGGTTGACACATGTCAATTAGGGTGACAGGGCAGGCAATGTACAAAAAGAGGGAGGATGGCAGAAGGTAGTAGAAGACATAGGGAGGAGTGCAAGAGTTAGAGTGAATAGAGGTAAATATTGTGAACTGATGGTACATGGAGGGGATTATAATCATTGCAATGAAATGAAGTATATGATTCGTTGCATGTAAAACTGATGATCTGCTCTGTAAACCTTCACTCAATTCACAATAAAAGGTTAAAAAAAAAAAATCCCCCACCCTCCTACATATCTATAATTTCTAGCTTGTTCTCTTTTATTTGTGGCACTTAGAACTATCAGAGTTTATTTCTCTATTTTTTATTTATTCCGTTCTTCTTTCTCACTAAAATGTAAGTGCTGTGAGGACAGGGAAGTTATGTGTTTAATTCTGTCTCCGAGGATCTGTAATAGGGCCGGACATTCAAAGATACTTATAAATATGTATTTGTAATTAAAGAGCACACTGAATGAGAATCCAAGCAGTTGCCAGGCATTTGCCTACAGTAGGCCAGGCTCTGTGCCAAGTGCTGACTGGTGTCACACTGCCAGTCAGTGGTAGAGGGGTGGGCAAGGGCGTGGCTGAAGACAGACTTTTTTCAGTCCCAAATCAGACGGTGGGGGCTGGGAGCAAGCGCCTTGGGTCTTTTGGTTTCCTTAGCTGCTTCCTCCTCTCAGCCAGTCTTGGGTCATAGAGTTGAGTTCTTGCACTCTAACTGGCACCTTTATCCCCAGAGGCAGGGGAGCAAGTCCTAGGCAAGACCAGCAGACTGACAAGCAAGGCTGCATATGGGGGTCTCTTTGCTGGGGTCCTTGAGTGCCCCTTAGGAGCTATCTGGAGAGCAGGGCTGGAACCATTAACGAGTACCACCTGTGTGTCTCCCAGCTGCCAGATCCCCTCCCATGGTTCTCACCGCCCACCTCCTTCCCTCCCAGATATTTGTTTGGCCACAAGAGATGCTCATTTATAGCTTATCTGCATACAGTAACCAAAAGCCTTAAAGAAGGTTAGGAAGTCAGTCAACCCAAACAAACAAAAAACCCATTTTGCCTACAAGTGGATTCCAAATCAGAGGGACCCTATAGGAGTAGAACTGCCCCACAGGGCATCCAAGGCTGTAAATTTTTGCAGAAGCAAACTGCCTCGTGTTTCTCATGCAGAGCAGTTGGTGGGTCCGAACTGCCGACCTTTCAGTGAGCAGCAAAGCTGTTAACCACGGAACCACCAGAGCTCCCCAGAATCAAACCAAGATGTTAAAACCAGATAGGACCGCAGGTCTTGTTCTAGTTTTAAAATTTCCTTTAATAAGTGAGGAAACAAACACACACACACACACACACACAGCCTAGATTTCTTAGTTCACCCCTCTTCTTTTGGCACTCCCCAGACTGGCATGTGAAATTGTCAGCCCAAAAGAAGAAGTGGATGCTTGGGCCCAGCTCAGACCAGAGCTAGGAGCCCCAATGACCCTTGGCATTGGTCTTGACCCAGTTAGGTCTAGGGGAAGAAGGGTCTGGGATCTATTTTCAAGGGTGACTACTTGTTCATCATGCAAATAAACTTGTCTGTAAACTCAGTGGACCCTGACCTGAGAATGCCGTAGGGTGCAGATCTAAAGTTGTCCCCAGCTAGCCCTCCCCACTTAACTTAGGGTTTCCTGACACCTGGTTGGGGGAGAAGGGCTGGAGACCGTGGGAACTAGGTCTTGTTAAGAGTAGTTCTGAGAAGTCATTCAAACTCTTCCTAGGCGTTTGATAACCAGACAGATCCTCAGAGAGGCCTATGGTCTAACAGTTAGTGTCCTGCAGGAATAAGCAGGAATTCTGGGATTCCAACCTGGAGTCCTGGTGTGGCACTGTGGGATAAAGCACTGGACCATAAGGTCGGTTCAAACTCACCAGCCTCTCCTTGGAAACCCTGTACAGGGTCACTATGAATTGGAACCGACTGGACAGCATTTAACAACCTGACTCAGGGCTTCCACGCCCTGGGTGTCTTTGAAAGAGCGGCTTCTCTTGTGTACAAGGAGTTTTATTATCTTTCATCATACCTTTTATCTCTGCAATTAATAACACTAGTAATAGTAATGATTATAGCTGCCATTTGTCCTGCCCTTCTTAAGGGGCAGGCCCTGGGCTAAATGCTTTATTTAATACATTATTACGATTAATCCAAGTAATGACCCTACCTCAGGAAGGTGTAAGAATCAGAGAGGAGAAACTTGTCATAGGTTCTGTAGGTGGTAGATGGCAAGATTGTAAATTAGAGCCAGGTCTTTGTGATCACAAACTTTGTGCACAGGCTGTGTGTGCAAATGAGCGCCCATACAGATGAATGTTGGGATTTGCAGAAGGTACTGAAGGTATGGAACCAACCGTAACACCAAACCAGCTGCTGTGCCGTTGTCGACTTGACTCCTGGCAGCCTTATGTATGTCGGAGTAGAGCTCTATTGGATTTTCAGTGGGGGCTTTTTCATAAGTAGGTCATGCGGCTTTTCTTCCAAGGTGCCACTGGGCAGAATCAAGCCTCCAATCTCTGTGTTAAATGTGTTAACCATATGCACCACCCAGGGACTCTGAAGGAATGGATAGGATTGCTTTTATCCTTGCTAATGGTAGGAGCTGGTAGCGTAGTGGTTACGAATCGGGCTACGAACCTTAAGGTCAGCGGTTCGAAACTACCAGCCGCTCCTCGGGAGAAAGATGAGGCTTTCTACTCCTGTAAAGATTTACACCCTCGGAAACCCTGTACTGGGTCGCTATGGGTCGGAACCGACTCGATGGCACTTAACAACAACAATGGTAGGAGCATGCCTTTCAGGGCTGCAAGAATGGAGCTGATTTGTAAGCCATGTTCTGTCTCCTCAACAAGATAGTTAGTTGCTCACTGTGTACAAAGACCAAAATTACACCTGATGTAGTATTTTCAGCTAGAGGTTTGTCACCTGGGCTCTGGAGTCAGATTTCTGGATTTGAATCTAAGCTATGTACTAGCTCAGAAACCTTGGGAAAATGACTTGGTCTTTGCAAACCTCAGCTTCCTCATTTGTGAAATGGGATGATCCGTCTGCTTAGAACTGGGGTGAGGACTAACAGAGGCAGTACAGGGAACATGCCTGACTAAAAGCATTATAAATGCAATTCTTATTGGTTCTCCTTAAAATCGACCATTTTCTCATAAGCACTGTGCTGGGAGGTTATTGTATCTCTCCTCACAGTTGAATTAGTCGAGGTTAGAAAAATGAAATTTTGTCCAAGCAGTAAGTGGCTGGACTTCAAGGTCAATTTGAACTGGGGTCACTATGAGTCGAACCCAACTCGATGGCACTTAGCAACAACATTAACTACCCAGAGACACCTTGGAAGAAAGGTCTGGCAATCTGCTTCCGAAAAGTCACAGCCTCAAAAAACAAAACAAAACAAAAACACTCTATGGAGTTCAGCGCTGCTATGCAGAAGAACAAGGGGTTGCCGTGGGTTAGAAATGACTTGAATGTCACTGGTTTGGTAACAGATTAAGCCTATAGCTTTTTTTTTTTTTTTTTTTTTTTTAAGCCTATAGCTTTCAAGGGAACAAAATAAACTGAGGACAGAGAGTACAAAGAGCTGTCCTAAAGTCATACAGCGTGCCAGGAAAGGGCTCAGCTTCAGCAGTCAGGGAAGCTTGAGGTGATGCTCTCTCTGCCGCTTCTGTGCTGTGTGACCTTGGACAAATCATTTCACCTCCCTGAGCCGCTCTTTTCCTTATTTATAAAATGGGGGAAATAATATTTGCCTCGCTAGGTAGTTATGAAGGTTAATGAAATAACAGAGACATTCAATAATAGACCCAGGAAGCTATACTTTCAGTTCTGGAACAACCACACAATTTAAAAACTATTCTAAAAATGTCCTGTCCTCACCTTTTGCTGGTAGGCTGCTCCAGACGTCATGTTGCCCACCCTCTGCCTCTGTGTCAGCCCTCCCTTCTTTACCTCAGCCGAGTCTGACATCCCTCAAGTCTCCCTCAAGGTATCAGGGAAAGAAGTCCCTTGTCCCTCTTCAGCTCACTGCAATGAATGGTAAGTTCTTCTGAAGTGTCTTCTAGAGCTAGTCTGAAAATGGAATAATGGTGCCAGCCACAGTGTGAGGACAAGGTGCTCTGGGCTTGGATGGGAGGGTGGGAGGAAGATGACCCTCAGGTGAGGCTGGATCCCAAGGAGGAATAGCTCTGGGAGAGAGAAGGAGCCTAGCAGGGGCTTGGGTGGTACATGAGTCAAGGTTAGAATTTGGGGATAGCAAAACCAGAATGCTCCCTAGAAGCCAGGACTTTGTGTTATCATAGTTTGGATATATTATCAGGAGGAACCAGTTCCTGGAGAAGGACATCATGCCAGGCAAAATGTTTTTTATTAAGTGTCATGGAATCAGTTCCAACTCACAATGACCCTGTATAGGGTTTCCAAGGAGTAGCTGGTAGGTTTGAACTGCCAACCTTGTGGTTCTCAGTCCAGAGCTGATCCTACAGCACCACACCAGGAGTTCAGGTAAAGTGGAGGGTCAGCGAAAAAGTGGAAGACCCCCCCCCCCCAAGATGGATTGGCACAGTGGCAACAGTAATGGGCTCAAGCTTAACCACGATTGTGAGGATGGTACATGCCTGGGCAGGGTTTTGTTCTGTTGTGCATAAAGTCGCTATGAGTTGGAACCGACTCAAGGGCATCTAACAACAACAACAACAACAATGAAGTCAAAGTCTGGCTTGGAAAGGCTTCTCAGCCCAGACCCAGCACATCGCTAAGGCTTCTCTGACACCTGTCAGGCTGGCTCTGGGATCCCTCACAGGGTTGGGGTGCCCAGGCCTGTCCCACCTACCTGTACATAATTGTCCTCACAGTAGTTGGCGACCCGCAGCAGGGCGCTGTGGTTACCCCGCAGAGCCTCCCGGCCCGTGGGGATCTCAAACTCCTGTAGCTGCTGCAGCTCGGCCATGGCCCCCAGCTCTGGCTGCTCCCCGGGGAGCCCGCTGGTTTTGAGTCTCACCCTGCCCTTGATTGGTTGCTTAGTTTCCCCTCCCTCTTACTGGTTTTGATTTCCTCTGCGTGAGAGACCCAAACCTGCTTGCAAAGGGCAGAGAGGCTCATTCCCGGACAAGAGGAAGTCAGTCCCTACTTCCTGGGCCTAGGCCTCTCTGTCCCCTGCCCAGAGGAAGGGAGAAGACAGGGGGTCCAATTGGGGACCCAGCCTCCCATTCCTTCCCAGCAGAGGAAGCTGTGATTGCTCCCTGGACTTGGAGAGGAAACTGGATGCGGGGGGGATGGGATGGGAGGCTCAGGAGGAAGGGGCTGTCCTGTTAGAAGAGGTGGAGATGGATTTTCCACTCATGAAAGGGGGAGGAAGGGCAGAGGGTGGGGGTTTCCTTGGGAAGCTTGGGGATGAGTCACCAAAGGATGGGAGAGTAGAGGGTGGATAGGATATGGAGACCAGTCATGCTCGGGGGGCTTGGGGTGGCAGTGTCACACCAAAGGAAACCAGTGATGTAGCAGCAAGATGAGTCAGGGTTAGACACCAGGAAGGACATACCAAGAGGTTCTCTGAGAAGTGGTGTCAAGTCTCTTTGGGGTTAAACCCATTTCTATCCATTCAATTCCAGATCTTAGCCACCCCATAGAACAGACTAGATCTGTCCCATAGGGTTTGCTTTTGGAGTCCTGGTACGTGGTGCTGTAGGATGAGCACGCCACCATCTGGTAGGTTTGAACCGCAAGGTCAGCAGTTCCAACTTACCAGCTGCTCCTTGGAAGCCCTGTACAGGATCACTATGAGTCAGAACTGACTCAACGGCGCTTCCCAGCAACAAGCTTTAAGGAAGCAGATCTCCTGTGGAGTCGACCTTTCGGTTAGCGGCCATATACCAGGTACATATGTCACCTGCCATATGTACTTTGTATCTGACAAAGGCAGGACAAGATGAAATTGACCAAATGTCAGGTAGGATCCAAATTAGACATCAGGAATTTGAATTGGAGAAGCACCAGGCTCAAATTCTGGATCAATTGATAAGTTTCCGGAAGCAGCAGTGGATAGAGCACTGAGCTGGGCTGAAGAGGAGTGGGCTTTCTTGGGTCCATTAATAGGGGAGTTGGATTGGATGACCTTCAGGGTCCTATCTCTTGATTGCAGATTCTAAGATTTTACAGCTGCGAGTGGGACTTGAATCCTGGTATTCCAGTGGGACTATTGATAAGGCCTTCTCCTCTCCCTTCCCAATGTCCAGTCTGTCATCCTGGAGGCAGGAGAATGACTGGACCCCTCACTGACCTTTTTCGACCCTAGGTGTCATTGAATCAATCCATGCAACCCCATGTGTGTCAGAGTAGAACTGGGCTCCTCTGGATTCTCAATGGCTGATTTTGGGGAAGTAGAGCACTTTAAGATAGGAAACCTTTCAGGAAGCAGACAGGTGGGTTAACTGTTTGCACTCCCCAGGGGCTCCATGAGAGGGTCCCTTGTCATTGACAGCCATCGGCCGAGCCAGAGACTCAGTGTCTCTTAAAGGGCACAGCCCTTGGGTGGTCTTAGGAGATAGAGAAAGACCAAGATGTGGGCTCTGTGCTGGGAACTGTCATAAGGAAGACCCACACTCGGGGTCAGAGGAAGGCAACGAGGTAAAGCAGCATGGACACAGGCATTAGAGGTCACCCCCCCCCCCAAAAAAAAAAGTGTGAACTGAGACAAATATATAATCAGGAGTACATCTTTATTGAATGCATGAGCAAAGGCTGAACTAAGAGAACCATGTAAGGTGACTCTTTGGGAGTTCAGTGGGGCCCATGAAGTCTTCTTAGACGAAGGAAGTAAGGAGCTCGAAGGAAGTAAGGAGCTGATCTAGTACTTGTTTCACTGAGAAGAAAAACCCCAGCATAGATTCAGAGGAAGGTAAAAAGGGGAGGGCTTGAGACAGAAGGCAGATAGGGGATGGGGAGCTAGAGAGAGGACATAGGGAAATAGGGCCAGTGGGGGCTGAGACAGGTTCAGACAATGTTTGCACTTGGCTACCAAGAAAAAAAATGGTGATCCAACCCACCCAGCAATGTCACGGGAGAACGGTCTGGCCATTTGCTTTTGGGATCCCTGTCAGGTAGTTCTACTCTTCAACATGTGGTTACCAGGAGTTGCAATGGGTACTCTGCTAAGGGCATCTCAGAAGGCAGTGGTGCTGATGCAAAGGGTAGCTGATCCGAAGGTGGGTTAGAATCAAAGAGATTGGAGGTGTCCTCTGTTTCCTAGCTTATTTGTGGAAAGAATGTCAGCATCTTTGCTCCAGTGGCAGGGAAGGCTTGGAGGCTCAGGAGGTGGATGGGTTTAGAACCTAAGCTTAGAACCCTGAGCTGCTGATCAGCTTAGGCATCAGAGCTTTTTGACTTCCAGACCATCTGCTTTATCTGAAGATTTTCAGCAGCTGAGGAGAAGCTAGGAGGCTCAAACACCATCTTGTCTGGGGCCAGCACCAGTGGCTTTGAAGTGTACTTGTCTTCCTGGCAGGTGAGAGGGGCTGAGGTTGCACTGGACTGGGATCTAGCTTAGAATTTCTGAAGATAAGCCCCAGGCAGGCCTTACTGATAACTCTGTACTAATGATGATGATGATGATATCAGTGCTAGGCAGTGAATTAAAATTAAAATGCATTATTTTCCTAGTATTCACAATAATCATATGTGGTAGTGGTGTGTCTCTGAGTCCGTTCAGACTCATAGTGACCCTGTATAGGGTTTCAGAAGCTGTAAATCTTTACAAATGCAGAAAGCCTCATCTTTATCCCATGAAGCAGCTGGTAGCTTCAAACTACTGACCTTGAGGATAGGAACCCAGCTATGTTGCCAAGGCTCCTTAATTATATGTGGTTGTTGTTGTTATGTGCCATGGAGTCAGTTCTGACTCATAGTGACCCTGTACAGGGTTTCTGAGGCTGTAAATCTTTACGGGAGCAGAAAACCTCATCTTTCTCCCACAGAACAGCTGATAGTTTCGAACTGTTGACCTTAAGTTTCGCAGACCGATTCGTAACCACTACGCTACCAGAGCTCCTTAATTATATGTGGTAGGTGCAATTATTATAGCCCTTTTGCAGATGGAGAAACTAAGACTCCAGATAGTTGAATGACTTGCCTAAAGGCCAAACAGTGAGGAAGTAGCAGAGCTGGGATCAGAACTGCAGTCTGGCAGGCTCCAGGGTCCATTTTCTTAACCACTAGGATATACTCTCCCCTACCAGGACCTGGGGACAAAAAAAGACAACTTCTACCCTGTTGTTTGTTGTGAAGTGCCCTCGAGCCAGTTCTGACTCATAGCAACCCTGTATAGGGTTTCCAAGGAGTTCTGAGGAGAGCCTGGCGGTCCGGTACTTATCCTTTAGCTCCATACCAGGATTCCACTTCCACCCTAGCCAAACAATGATTTTGCTTTCCAAATCTTCCTCTCGGAAAGAAATTCCTTCTCTACATTCTGGGTTCCTGTTTCCTCCTTGGATGTGTTGCCAAGGGCAGAGATTGTGCCTTCCCCATCAGAGTAGGAGCTTCCTACTTCCACAGTGGAACCTGGGGGGATGCGGTGAGTATCCATTGAGGGGCCTGAACTGAGGGATGTGGAGAATGTAGAGGAGCGATCTGGGGGAGCTGAGGGAAGTACAATCCCCCTGCTGAATCCTTTCCAGGACCAGGTCTCTCTCGGGGAGGATGGCCCAGGATCTCAGTGACAAGGAGCTACTGAAGATGGAGGTGGAGCAGTTGAAGAAGGAAGTGAGGAACCCAAGAGCTCTGGTGAGCCTCCTCTTTTCCATCCGCTCTCGTCTCCATCCCTTCCTGTTCCTAATGGGATCTGGGGCCTGAAGGAGGAACACCGGATAGTGGAAAGTCCTCAGGGCACTAGAAGAAGCAGGAGGCACTCTGCGAGGGGGTATGGTATAAAAGAAGTCTGGGGCTTGACCCCCATGAAGGTGCCACATTACTCTGAGCATAGGAATGAGCCTCAGAGCTTTGGGAAGCTCAGTGTGTTCAGTCCCAGCTCTGGGCAAAGCCTAGCACAACACCTCACTGACAGAACAGTTAGTCTGTGGTGTGAGTGAAGGAACTCATACCCGCCTGTCCCTTTGAGATTTCTCCTCTCTGGCCTCTTGGAACTGACCTGACCACGTCATGAATCCTGAGAAAACCTAAGGCAGCATCCATATTTATGTTTCCTCACAGATTTCTAACACAGGAAAAGAAATCGAGGATTACGTGGAAACTCAAGCAGGAAATGATCCTCTTCTCAAAGGTATCCCCGAGGACAAGAATCCCTTCAAGGAGCAAGGCGCCTGTGTGATACACTGAAGGCACCAAGGCCCATTGCCCTAAATGCCTGTCTCTCCTCAGCCCCACGGCTCACTCAGAGTCATCCCAGGACAAACCCCCAGGAACCACCTCCTCAGAACCCTGTCCCAGCTCTGCCAGTCACAGGAGTAAAGATATCTGGCTGAATGCAATCTATTCCCCAATCTCATTTTCAACTCTTTCCCCCCATTATCTCCTCTATCTGCCGTGTCACTGCTAGGCCTACCTGAAAACATTTTTCACTGGTTTAGCAGTTGGCACCATATGTGGTGGGGTCTGATTCTCCAGAGGGCAGTCTTAAGGAGACATTTACTTCTCTTTAGAATCAGAGTAGTTTGCAGGTCAACTTTGGGGGCGGTTCCTTTCCTCCCATCTCATGTTCTATGCTATAGGCTTTCTCCTAATTGTTTGGAGCACCCCAAATTGCCTGAAGACAAAAAAGAGTCTGCAAGTCATGAGTTCTTGATGTGTTATGTATGTATGTAATATCATTTGTTGTTGTTAAGTACCGTAGAATCGGTTCCGACTCATAGTGACCCTACACGGAGTTTCCGAGGCTGTAAATCTTTACGGGAGCAGACCGCCTCATCTTTCTCCCGCGGAACCGCTGGTAGTTTCAAACTGCCGACCTTGAGGTTAGCAGCCCGATTCATAACCACTATACTACCAGAGCTAATATAAATATGTAATATCATTGGGCACCTAAAATGTTCTGAGCACTAGGGATAGAAGAGTGAACAAGATTACAATGGTTTCTACTACTATGGAATTTAGCCAAGACATGAAGCAAGCAATTTACAATTAACTCAATACGTAGACTTTGGGAAAAGTCAAGAGGAATGTGGGAACAGACAGCAGACAGCAGCTGTCTTAGCTAGGTGAGGAGAGGGATCTGAAAGA